CAACCCTCTCTATTTTCCTCCATACCCAAATCTCTAAAAAAGGGGCTGCAACGGATCTGATAAAAACTGATCCAGATTTGAACACTGTCCTGACGTCAGCGCTACGGCTATTGGGCCAACTCCACCAATCAGGAGGAGACAGCCACGGCCATTGCCGTTCGAAAGCGCTGGAGACGCTGTAGTACATATGCCAGGCCTGTAGGTGGTGCTGTTCTCACTGAATCAGCTCTTGCAAAAACAGAGCTAACATTTTTCAAATTGAGCGAAATGAGGCATGGCTAAAATGCATGATCTGTTTGTATAAAAAGTATAAATATGCCTTATATAGGTATGGTCCTACACTATATTATTATAATATAGCATGATAGGTCCACTTTAAGCTTTTTAACAGAAAACATGCAAGTACATGTAAAAGTCCAAGGGATTTTCTACTTTAAATTCTTGGTTTCTTACGTATAGGGACGTGAGGCTTTAAACAGTACTATCAGAAGAATAACACTTACTATTTCTAACACAAAAAGGTAAATCCCATTAGCCCTGACAATACGATATGTATCTGAACATGGCTCTCTGTATGTTCATCATGTGGTTCTCTTTAAGGGTCATGCTTTTAGTCAGGTGCGTTAAACTATCGGCTTAAAGTCCAATTTAAATTGTGAATCTAAAAGGAAGCGTGTTTTCTGAGAGGGAGAGTATCCTTTAAAAATGCAACATGTCCTATCAGATGATCTTGTGACACACTGTATCAGCAGTGTGATGTAAACAGGGATCAGGCATGTCTGAGCAGGAGACGATCTGGGGATCATAATAATTTCTGTCCTCAGCTGATCTGACTGAGCCTCTTCACCAGAAACACCGTCAGTCACCTCCTCTTAAATAACTAATATTACATGCAGGACTCCTCTGGGTTCATAGCGTTCTTTGGCAGGAGTTGAGACCACAAATATTTCAGATGTAATTTGTGTGTGGAGAGAGAGAGAGAGAGAGAGAGAGAGAGAGAGAGAGAGAGAGAGAGAGGGAGAAAAGAGAGAGAGAGAGAGAGAGAGAGAGAGAGAGAGAGAGAGAGAGAGAGAGAGGAGGAAGCTGCTCTACTTGTTGCAACGAGACAGGTAACATATTCTACATGCAATATCTCCTAATTATAATACTAATGTATAGTAAAATATACAAATGTACAACTTAATGTTATTACTTGCTGCGACTTCAATAAGTGTATGCGTTTACTTGCTTCTATGATGCTGCTAAATGTGTTCTTGTCTCATGAATATTAGTTTACTTACTTTATATCGCCTTTAATCTGCACTTTCCTCGTTCGCTGTAAGTGTTAATTTCCCCATAAATATAAAAAATGGACTCCTGATTTCTGAACACAACAGACAACAACCCGATTGTTGTGATGCAACAAACAACACAACAGGCAACACAATAGAACAGACAAGACACAACAAGCAATATGTGCCAAGTGCAATATAAACAAATTATAATACAATCAAATATATACTATCTTTTTACCATTGAAGAGTACTTATCTGATTTTATTTTGTTAACGTTTTCTTGCCTCTTAAATCTAAATGTAAATGTACTTATTTTTATTTTTGCCTTTTCTCTGCACTGTCCCCTTGGCTGTCGGAGTTTAAATGTAACCCAGGATTAAAGGATTTCTGATTTCATAACAAACAACAACCGGATAGTTTTGAGAGTAAAAGTTGAGGATTTTAGGAGCCGACAGAACACACACCAACTAAATCTGACTTAAACTTTTAATAAGTGCAGATAGGGTGTAACAGGCAGGTGAACTAATTGGCAGCTCAGTGTGTGTGTGTGTGTGTGAGTGTGAGTGTGAGTGTGAGTGTGAGTGTGAGTGTGAGTGTGTGTGTGTGTGGGGGATTAGGAGATTTACCGTAAAGCAGAAGATCAGAGGGAACAGGTGAAGGGAGGATCTTCAGCGTGCAGCTACTGTACACACACCATCTCACACACACACTAACACACACTGTAACTACAGACAGAGAGAGGAGTGTGTGCTCGTTCACACGGCAGTCTCAGATTTCACTTCAAAAGGCTCTGCCGTGAAGCAGCTGCGGCTCTATTTGAGGAAACAGCCAAACCCTGAACCTCTCAAACAGAAACATTGAGAGCTGCTTTCCAGCTGCACAATTAATCTAAATGTTACCAACATCACAGTTTGGACGAGTGCAATGTTCAAAATGCAGGAAGCACAATGTTTGTTTAAGGCTAAATATGTTTGATATACCATTTTGAATGAAGTATTGTGGAGCTGCAGAGATATCCCCACCCAAAAGTCAAATTCTACAGGCTTATTAAAACGTATTTGTTTGCTAGAACAGCCGGTAAATTCAGAAAACTACATAATTTTACTGTAAAAGCAGCCTTTTAAAACTTTGAAAAGACACTTAGAATAACATAATATCCAAAATCTAAGACAATATCTGATCTAATAGCGAGATTTCGATGATATAAAGTTACATTGCACAGCCCTATATGACATTTCAGCTCACAAAAATTATGATTTGAAAATGTTATAACTGAAGTAAAGTAGTAAAACACAAGTGGGTCGGTCATTTGAGTTTAATAGAGCTTTTAATGAGGTTAATGTTCATCAACCTGCTGACATCTGACCTTGATAAACGTGCCGAGTGACTGACATAATAAGCATAATTATCACTGCACATTTCTTTAAATGCTAGGTGTGGTCATAACTGGTGCTACTGGCTTTAAACCAGTCTATGGTCGCTTCTCTGGTGCGCACCAGACGACAGTTTTTCAGAAGGTTCGGTTTGCGTTCACACGGGCAAAACTCAAACGGACAGCGGAAATGCTGTTCAACCATTGGTCAGACATTAAGGGGGTAAAAACGCAAATCCCGGCAATTTCTACCGCAGCCCCCGCCATGGAGCATCGGCAGGTTATTTTCATGCTGTTGTTAATCTGGAGAGCATATCAATGGACTCTAGCGCCCCGAGCATATGATTATATAAGACAACGTCCGTTAAAAAACATTATAACATATAATGGGAGACGTTCTGCAGTAAGGAGGGGGTTTCACCGACAGGGGGCTCTTACTTTTAGGTATAGTTGACGGAGCATTTTCACTTTACACGACACTGTTCAACACTTAATTCTGCTTCACTCTTTAACTAAACAACCGCGGATGTCTTGAAAGACTCTTTCGCTAAAGATTTTGAAGACATCCACGTTCTTGTGACTCGTAAATACTACGTTTCCTATGTTTTGGTGCGGACTGCGTTCACACCAGAGATTAACCGCTCCAGAGTTCACTTGCAAGCGGTCCGAGACCACCTCTTTTAGGCGGACCAGAGTCCGGTTGTTTAGTTCACTTCAGAGGTCTCGGGCTGCGTTCACACCGACCCAAACGAACAGCACCAAGTGGCTAAACGCACCAGAGTTCGATTCAACCGGACTATACAAGGCTGGTGTGAATGCGACCTATATCTAACTAAAGACCAGTGAAACTATGCTTTTCAGCAAAGCTAAGAAATAAACAATATTTGGGTCGCACCGATGAAGAGACAAGAGTAAACAGGGTAGAAAGTAAACCTGTAAAAGAGACAAAGGCCTCATATTTGTTGTTAAAGAAGCTCCTTTAGTTTACTGTACACAGAGGCGCGTGCCTGGTTTTATCTCCACAGGAAGTTGTCTGTTTATTTGGGGTTTGTGCAGTACACAGTTTAATGGAGGTGTATGATAACTACTATCATTCAGACACAGGAAATACAGCGTCATTTGTTAGGATTGCTGTCCAAGTTAGGGACGTCATATAGTGCTAAATTCAGACTAAGATAGAGAACTCACACAAGCCATCAATTGAGCTAAAGATAAATAAATCTTTAGGTAAATACATGTGAAAACTTGACTCCTGTCATCATTGTAATCCGTGAATGTTGATGTATAGGGAAGTGTTACATCTGGGTTAAATCTAATAATCCGATTTCGTTGCCTAATTTGAAATTGGGACACAATCCCTCTCTTGTTGCAGCAGATGAACCGGTTTCTCTGTCCAACACAAACACATGGGTGGAACAGCTGAAACACGATGTCATACACAAAGTATTCAGAGGATTTACCTGCAGCTGAGAGACAATAAATCTGACGCTTTAACTGACCGAGTGAAGGAAACCTCTAGTTTAAACTTTAGGTCAAGGAATGAGTCCATAAACATGGAGATAAGTCAGTATTTTATTACTTCCTGTCCCCTGGTCTTGAGGTCAATGGTTTTCTGAATGTTAGCCTGAGGTGTATGTGGTAAACACAAGCTGAAGAGTTTTTAACGGTTTGTTCTACGACATAAAATACGTCAATAAATACCCCACTGGTGAATACAAAAATGGCTATTGCTAACAAGTGTCTACATGAGACGACTAACGTCATCACGCCCAACATTAGCCGCCTTTAGCTTAGCGGTGGTGACGTGAAGTCATGTGACCGTGCTGTAGTTCCTTTATAGCCCAACATTAGCCACCTTTAGCTTAGCGGTGGTGACGTGAAGTCATGTGACCGGGCTGTAGTTCCTTTATAGCCCAACATTAGCCACCTTTAGCTTAGCGGTGGTGACATGAAGTCACGTGACCGTGCTGTAGTTCCTTTATAGCCCAACATTAGCCACCTTTAGCTTAGCGGTGGTGACGTGAAGTCACGTGACCGTGCTGTAGTTCCTTTATAGCCCAACATTAGCCACCTTTAGCTTAGCGGTGGTGACGTGAAGTCATGTGACCGTGCTGTAGTTCCTTTATAGCCCAACATTAGCCACCTTTAGCTTAGCGGTGGTGACGTGAAGTCACGTGACCGTGCTGTAGTTCCTTTATAGCCCAACATTAGCCACCTTTAGCTTAACGTTAGCTTTTTACTTCAGAAATCATAAAGTAGTTTTAATATGTGGAGATTATCCTGCTAAACTAAAAGGGTCCAACACAGAAATACGACATTCCTGTACAAGTGAACGAAAGAAAAAAAGTTTTTACCTGTACAGTTTTCTTGATTCTGTGTGAAGGGCCCGGGTATTCAGGGGAGTACAGTTCTGTCAGAAAGAGGGAGTTGATCAGGGTCGACTTCCCCAGCCCAGATTCCCCTGAAAAACAAACACAGAGTGAGTGTGTGAGTGTGCGTGTGAGAGTGTGTGTGTGTGTGTGTGTGTGTTTGAGTGTGTGTGTGAGTAACTCTAGATGCATTTCACACATTACTTGTTTTCTAATCCTTGTTCTCAAGCCAGACTGAAGCACAACATGACACAACCTCCAGATGTTTATCAGCACATTCTTCACAGGTTTCAGATTCAAGATGTTTCTCAGAACAGGAAATGGCTGCGTTTAACCTCCTTTTCTTTCTTTTTTAAAACAGGCAGGGGTTAACAGGAGACGAGGGAAGAAACAGACTGGGTGGAAGTTCTGTCCTCCCAAATTCTTTTCCTGTCTGCATTTCAGGAATCTAATCAGGGAATCATGGGAAGGGAGGAGAGGGGAAGATTTAAACCGCCGCAGTCATCATGAATTTCCACTTGAACAAAGGAGGAGAAACAGGAATCAAAAGCATGGATTCCTTTCCATTGTACTCGGAGAAATCTGAGGAGACACCAGACACTTTGTTTTCACTCTATAACAAGAGTTTAAAAAGCTTCTCATACAGATCTTTATTCTAGAAGTAACTTTGATCTTTTGAGATACAGCTCGTTTAGGATATAAAGATCTTTTATCTTGAAAAAAAAGGTTGTTTTTCCAACCATATTTTGCTTTGTGTTTTTCATGTTAGCTCCAACAATATTTAACCGTACGGCTCTATTTAGCCATGCATGCTAACGTTTGTAGCTGAATGAAGAGCATCTGTCCATACTCTTGCTCTTGTGTTTTTGGAAAAGCTAAAACTTTAATAATTGATCAACCAGAAGACATTCGCTGATTCAAGAATCTCTGATGTGATTTGCTGCTTTCACATTACTGATGCTGTGTATTTTGAGGTTGAGGACTGTTATGGCGCGTTTCCACTACACGGCCTCGCTCGGTATGGTTAGGCCTCGTTAGGACTGGCTCACTTTATGGCGCATTTCCATTACAGTTTAGGAACTGGGGCAGTATCTATAGTAACGCAGTGTAGGCGGAGCCGTGACGTCATCTTCAATGAGAACCCCAGAAAAACAACACAGCCGTTAGCTGTTAGCACTCAGAGCTCACAGCTCCTCATATCTGTTCAGAAACTAGACAAAAGTTAAACAAGTACAAACCACAGACTGCCTGTGTCATGGCGAATACAGTCGCTGGTTTATTTATGTCTGTATAGGCCGTTGTTGTGAGTGTGGACGGTCGGAGCATATACTGCGTTAGCTTAGCCAATCTCCATTTAGAAAACACGCATTTTAAAAGGTTTTTCGCCTGCCGTCTGTCTGCAGACTTGACAAAGCATTAATTCATGGTTTTTACTAACCAGTATCAGTATGTTGTTACTTCGGCATAATTTTGAAACGTGTATTACAATTAAATCACGGTCAAATATGTCCATCTTGTTGTAGTTGTAGCCCCCTTGCCAGCGATGCTCTCTCTAGTTTAGCATACTCAGCCCGACTCAGCCTCGTTGTCTCTGGCCCTAGACCCGCGATTTTATGAGGCCAGAAAAACTGTGAATTAGGGCCCGCCGGCCGGTACTAGGCCAAGTGGAAACGCAACCAAAGACGGGCCGCTGACGTCACAGCCCTCTTAAACCGTGCTCCGCGCTGTAGTGGAAACGCGCCATAAGTCATTCAAAACAAGCATTTTGACAGTTAAGAAGTCCTAAAAGGCCCCGTATTTTGGGACTTTTGGACCTTTTGGAGCTGTAATAACCACAAAAATGCCAGTGAGAACCTGGCCTGCCTGATGAAATCCAATCCTATGAGAGCGTGGTTGTTCAGATCGGGGCAACAAGGAGCTGCAGAACAAAAGCTTCAGTGTGCATGAGAGTGTGTTTCTGCAGCCAGAGAGCTGCTGCTGACCTTTACGAGTCGCCAACATCTCAACGAACAGATGAAGAAACAGCCTCACAAAAGGATCCTTCACTCCACACACTCGCACACTCATAAATGTTTTCCTAAGAGGGCAGAGCCACATTTATCTTGTGATCCGGACAGAAATGTAGGTGGGAAGTAGTGGAGTACAAATACTTGGTTAGTTACTGTACTTAAGTACATATTTCTGGTATCAGTACTTTACTCCACTACTTATTTTTCTGATGACTTTTTACTTTGACTTCTTACATGTTGAACCCAAATACCTGTACTTTCTACTTCTTACATGTTGAACACAAATACCTGTACTTTCTACTTCTTACATTTTGAACACAAATACCTGTACTTTCTAGTTCTTACATTTTGAACACAAATACCTGTACTTTCTACTTCTTACATGTTGAACACAAATACCAGTACTTTCTACTTCTTACATGTTGAACACAAATACCTGTACTTTCTACTTCTTACATGTTGAACACAAATACCTGTACTTTCTACTTCTTACATTTTGAACACAAATACCTGTACTTTCTACTTCTTACATGTTGAACACAAATACCAGTACTTTCTACTTCTTACATGTTGAACACAAATACCTGTACTTTCTACTTCTTACATGTTGAACACAAATACCTGTACTTTCTACTTCTTACATGTTGAACACAAATACCTGTACTTTCTACTTCTTACATGTTGAACCCAAATACCTGTACTTTCTACTTCTTACATGTTGAACCCAAATACCTGTACTTTCTACTTCTTACATGTTGAACCCAAATACCTGTACTTTCTACTTCTTACATGTTGAACACAAATACCTGTACTTTCTACTTCTTACATTTTGAACACAAATACCTGTACTTTCTACTTCTTACATGTTGAACACAAATACCTGTACTTTCTACTTCTTACATGTTGAACACAAATACCTGTACTTTCTACTTCTTACATGTTGAACACAAATACCTGTACTTTCTACTTCTTACATGTTGAACACAAATACCTGTACTTTCTACTTCTTACATGTTGAACACAAATACCTGTACTTTCTACTTCTTACATGTTGACCTGTACTTTCTACTTCTTACATGTTGAACACAAATACCTGTACTTTCTACTTCTCACATTTTCCAAACAGGCTGGTTCCTTTAGTTTGAATGTCTGTTTGGTGGCGTGATCATTATTATTTAGAGTCATTGCGTGCCTATTGATTTGAACACGATCCGTGTATCCATCATTTCCTGGTCTTCTCTAAAGAAGAGGGACCAATGAAAACATTGTCATGTTGCCGTTGTTCAGCATGGAAACATTCATTAGCTAACAATGACATTATTGTTCTATTAATATAAAGGGAGGTCAGGTACTCTTTAAAACAGCTGCTAGTTATGGGTACTTTTTACTTAAGTACATTTCAAAGCCTCTTTACTTTTACTTGAGTAAAGAAGTTTAGTCAGTACTTCTACTTTTACCAGAGTATTTTTAAACACGAGTATCTGTACTTCTACTTCAGTAAAGGATGTGTGTACTTTGTAGCATGTAGCAGAGATTGTCTGTGATGAAACATGCTGAAAACATTTCTGCAAGGCTGAAAGGGAATGGAGAGCTTTGAAGGGTTTATTCTGCAAACTGTGGGTGAAACGCATGTGATAAAACCGTCAGATTGAGTTAGGGAAGATGACAGGAGCAGCAGGAGGGAAGAGATCAAGGTCCCCGAGCTCTGGTTTCATGAAACAAATCAAACTCAGAGTTATGAGGGCGGTGGTGGAGATGCCGATCATTTTTGGTCAGAGCTGTGCATGGCTGAAAGTTTGGACGGTACGAGGTCACAAATCTGCCAAAAAACTCAAACCGTTCCCCAGAAATGTGATCAGATGATAATTGGCTTTGACTGAATGAAAGATCTTCCCCTCCCGTGCTGCTCTGTGAGGCGAAGACTGAACCAATATATGAAATTAAACTCTTTACCCACAACTTAACACTGCTTTATGACATCCAGCCGTCTCAGTGAGTCATAAAAACATCAGATAATCAGAATTCTTTATTTATTGCGGGAATTTAATGGGGAATTAGGTTTTGTGAGAGTTGCTCTATTAACACTAACATGAAAAAAATATAAAAGGTCAGATTTATTATTTCCTTTTCAGCAGCATTTCTCCATCTGTGGTTACTTGTTCAGCTGCCCCAATTATTTTGCATAATAAAAGATGTTTGCATCAACATTTAAACCCATGTTTTATTATATGTGCGACATGTACAGATATATTTATATATTATTTCTCCCGTCTTTCTCATCTTTTATAAGCAATATATTACACCTTTTGTTAAATGCTTTAAGATAAAAGGTACTTTATTGATTCCAATTAAGGACATGTTTGCGTTGAAGCAGCATAAAAAACAACAAAACACTCCACATAAGTACAAGAGAGATTAAAGAGTAGAAATAAACAATACTAGAATTTAAACGTCTCAAAATAGAATTGAAGCAGCATTAAAAAGTAGAAAAAAATATACAGTAGGCTAGGGCTGTGCGATTATGGCAAAAATCATGATTATTTTGGTCAATAATTGATATCACGATTATTAAATACGATTATTCATTGATTTTAAAAACATCCATTTATTGAACTTTTAAATACAAATAATAATTTGAACAGTATCTTTTTAACTGTTGATTTCCCTGAGCGTATAATTCAACTGAAAAACCAATACAAAAATAAATAAAATAAATGATACATTTAAATAAATAATATCAAAATAATAAATACCAATAAACAAGATCAACAAATATTTGGGAGCGCACTTCAACAAGCTACTAAACATATGTAAATAGGATAAATACAAATAAATTAGATCAAATATGTTGCAGTGCACTGTCACAACCTAGCAAAGCAAAATAATCGTTTTTTTCGATTATGTTGTTTTCGTAATTGTGGCAGGCCAAAATCGTAATTGCGATTAAAATACGATTAATTGCACAGCCCTACAGTAGGCTGTGCCGTGAAGATACAACAAATCTATAAACTCTGACAATAAATCACTATTGAAGACTGACAACTGACTTAATCATTACGGGCCGTCTCCACAGCAGCGTTAAA